TAGCTTCCTTTATGTCCAGAAGTTTAACTCTTTCTGCATAGTCAGCATCTTCCTCTGGCTTCTGGACGGTTCTGGTGGATACCATGGCCCTAAACCTGTCCCAATTCCTAAAACCCCAGAGCTGGAAGGAGCTGGACCTTCTGCTGCCACCAGATGTTTTAGAGAAACTTGAAATTGCAAGATAATTTTCCAACTTAAATTTGGCGAGCTGTTTTATGTACATGTTCATATTAAACCGCACACAGGCAAAGAAGAAGAGAGACTGTTTAGCCAATCAGAATGCAGAACACAATCCGTGAAGCTACAGGTGAACCGGGATATAGCGAGGGGTCCCTGTAAACAGAGACGAGGGGAGAAGCCCAGCACAAAGTGGGACTGGTGGCAGATGTGGGACTCGCTGCTCACTTTGAAAGTCCCGAAAGTGCTTTGTGGACTTCTAGTGGCAGCTTCTGGATCCCAGCAGAATCAGTCAGTTCCAAAGAGAAGTGGAGAGTAACAGCTTCCTTTCAGTGAGTGAGCAGGAGGTCCAGCTCCTTCCACCTCTGGAGTTCTAGGAATGGGGACGGTTTAGGGCCATGGTATCCAACAGAAGCTCTGGCTCCTCCTCGTCTTCCTCCTTTCTTGAAAAGTCTGTCTACCCCAAGTGCCCCCCCTGCTGGCCCCCAGACACTATTGCTCCTCCTCACCCAAATCCACTGACTGGTCCTCACTCTTACACCAATCCACACTAGGGCTGGGCCATTTTTCCATTTCGGTTTTATTCTCTATGTAAAATGTATCTACGATTATAAATGAGACGTTTGATAAGCCGACGCCTTAAAAAATAATAAAAGTTTTCCAACGCTTCCAACGCTGTTTGCCTTAAAATAAATCCCTTTATTGGACAAGATCGATCTTCTCTAATTATTGAGAAACTCTGTGTCACTCATATAATAAGTTCCATAACCGGTTAAGGCCCTGCTTCCGTCTGAATGCCAAAACAATGATGAGAATGTGAAGAGTATCTCCCTAAACCCTATCAAATATTGTCCAGAGCTGAGTAGTGCTTTAAGAACCAAACTGAACAGAGTAAAGTGTGGACTGTCCTCTGCTGCCCCTCAGGGCCCCAGCTGCTCGGCCCCGTGTCCAGCAGGGACCTACGGGACCAACTGCTCCTCCAGCTGTGGCTGCCAGAACCGAGCCCGCTGCTCCCCAGTGGACGGGTCCTGCTCCTGTACGCCGGGTGGGTCTGTCTGTCTGTCTGTCTATCTATCTATCTATCTATCTATCTATCTATCTATCTATCTATCCAT